GGCATGTGATTATTGCATCCAGCTGCCGCTGATCACAGCGTGAGTATAAGTAGGCAGCAGGTGCAGCGCATATTCAGCTTTTCGCTTCGGAGCCGAGCGATCACATCGTTTTGCTCCTGACTGCTCAACTGAGAGAAGACCGAAGGAGTTCAGTGCGCTTTTTGAGAGCTCTTCGTGTTGGCGGTACGGCGCTTCAGCAGTGGTGGTTTCCCGTGTCGAGTGGGTTGCACACATCAGGCTGCACCACCCCGTTTGTGTTGGCAGTTGTGTCCCGGGTCTGTAGGTACTCGTTTGGTCTGTCCGGCGATGCATATACGGCCTGTGAAGAAGCTGCCTCCACCTTACACGCTACGGCGTTACTGCAGGTTCTTCAGGCTAAAGCACTGAGGGACCTGCACGAGGGTGGTCACGATCCGGAAGTTCTGAAAGAGCTCCGAACCGCAACTGATCTCGCGTTCCGAGCGGCAGCAGGGCAAACCATGCCTCCGCTCCCGGGTCTGTAGGTACTCGTCTGGTCTGTCCGGCGATGCTTATGTGGCCTGTGAAGAAGCTGCCTCCACCTTACACGCTACGGCGTTACTGCAGGTTCTACAGGCTAAAGCACTGAGGGACCTGCACGAGGGTGGTCACGATCCGGAAGTTCTAAAAGAGCTCCGAACCGCAACTGATCTCGCGTTCCGAGCGACGAAGGTCACCGCGAGTTTTCTGGGTCGTGCGATGTTCACACTTGTGGTCCAGGAGTGTCACCTCTGGTTGTGTCTGGTCGACATGAGGGACGCCGACAAAGTTCGGTTCCTCAAGGGTCCTGTGTCCCAGGCCGGCCTTTTCGGCGACACAATCGAGAACATGGCCCAGCAGTTCTCGGCTGCACAGGAGCAGACTGAGGACACAGTCGAGAACATGGCCCAGCAGTTCTCGGCTGCACAGGAGCAGACTGAGGCGATCCCAGCCTGCTCATCGCCGAGGGCGGCCCCCTGCGTGCCCTGCACCCCCACTCCCGTGCCGCACCCGCAGCGGCCTCAAGCAAGCTGCACCGGGGAGCTGGGCATAGGCAGGCCACCCCGCCCGTCCAGGCCCCCGTCAACCTGGCGGTGAGCGGAAGAGCAAGAGGCCTCGGGACGGGCGACCCAGAGAGAGAGGGAATGCACCTCTCCCTCCCCCGGAGGAGAGCCAGGTGGAGAATCTGGTTTCCAAAAATCTCGACAGGAGAGCGGTTTTCTCTGTCTCTGGGTCCCACGAGGGCATGGAGAGTCGCGGACGGACCAACAACGTACCACACTCATCCTCCTCTCTGGCCAGAAGGCAGCAGCGAGTGGTTCGAGTGCGTCATCAAAGACCCTACTCACGCTCCCTCTGCCAAACCGTGGAACCAGGTAAGTGTTGCACTGCACACTCAGACCCCTCTTTAGGTCCCTGCGTTCCACCTCGCTGCCCCACCGCGGGTACGTTGGTGATCCCGCTGGTCCAGCTTGTGTGGTGTCTGGGTGCCTGGCTACCTAAACCGTCTCGCTGGCTCCTGCGGACCATCAGACTCGGCTATGCGATTCAGTTAGCCCGGCATCCCCCCAAGTTTAGCGGCATCCGCTTCACATCAGTGAAGGCGGCTGATGCTCCTGTCTTGCGTGAGGAGATCGCAGTCCTACTGGCGAAGGATGTGATAGAGCCGGTCCCTCCAGCCGATATGAAGACGGGGTTTTACAGCTCCTACTTCATTGTACCCAAGAAAGGCGGTGGGTTACGACCAATCTTGGACCTGCATGTCTTGAACTGGGCCCTTCACCGGTTACTGTTCAAGATGTTGACGCAGGAACGCATCTTCGGGTGCACTAGTCCCCAAGATTGGTTTGCAGTGATCGACCTGAAGGACGCGTACTTTAATGTGCCGATCCTTCCGCACCACAGACTATTGCTGCGGTTCGCGTTCGAAGGACGAGTATATCAGTACGAGGTCCTACCCTCCGGGCTGTCGCCCCGTGTCTTCACGTAAGTTACGGAAGCAGCCCTTGTTCCCCTGAGAGAACAGGGCGTTCGCATTCTCAACTACCTCAACGTCTGGCTCGTACTAGCTCAGTCTCAGGATCAGTTGTGTGCACACAGGGACCTGGTGCTTTTGCACCTCAGCCGGTTGGGCCTTTGGGTCAACTGGGAAAAGAGCAAACTCTCCTTGGCGCAGAGGATCTCTTTTCTCAGTATGGAGTTGAATTCGGCAGCCAACGAGCTGTCACGAGCTGCACTCCCGGGAGAATGGAGACTCCATCCCCAGACGGTCCAGCTGATTTGGAGTCGTTTCGGAGCCGCTCAGGTAGACCTGTTTGCCTCTCCAGAAACCTCTCACTGCCAGTTGTTCTACTCCCAGAGTTGCTGACACTACGCCTGGCCTTGAGCCGTCTCAAGAGGAGATTACAAAGCAAACGCGTGCTGGTCCGCACGGTCAACACTGCGACCATTGCGTACATCAACCGACAAGGTGGTCTACGCTCCCGTCACATGTTGCAACTCGCCCGCCACCTCCTCCTTTGGAGTCAGAAGCATCTAAGGTAATTCACATTCCTGGTCTGCACAACCAGGCAGCCGACGAGCTGTCACGAGCTGCACTCCCGGGAGAATGGAGACTCCGTACCCAGACAGTCCAGCTGATTTAGAGTTGTTTCGGAGCTGCTCAGGTAGACCTGTTTGCCTCTCCAGAAACCTTTCACTGCCAGTTGTTCTTCTCCCTGGCCGAGGGAACACTCAGCATGGACGCACTAGCACACAGCTGGCCGCGGGGCCTTTGCAAGTATGCGTTTCCCCCAGTGAGCCTTCTTGCACAGTTGCTGTGCAAGGTCAGGGAGGACGAGGAGCAGGTCCTGTTGGTGGCACCCTATTGGCCTACCCGGACCTGGTTCCCAGAACTAATGCTCCTCGCGACAGCCCCTCCTTGGCCGAT